ATAATGTGAGAGGGTTCTAGCCAGGCGGTGTGTTACTACACGTTACGACGAGCTAGAGGCACTGCTATCCTAATCGATGATAGAATCTATTGAACCGTCCATCATTATACTAAAATTCATAAAAAAAATCATAACTCTTGCTTAGAGTTTTGTTAAGCTTAAATATGCTGCCTCTAAGCTAATTCAGAATTTTTAAAAAATTAATTGCTTCAAGTTCCGGTTTTTATTGCTACCCGGGCACCCTACCATATTGGCAGAGTATTCCAATTTATATCCAATATTACAGAGCTCGAAGTCAATGAAATTATGTATCATTTTTGCCCTAGGTTGCCTCAAACAGACCTAGAAACTTTCTTCTTGGGCTATAAAATCTCAGAGCCTCCATCCTCTTTAAAAAATAGATATTATCAACTTCAAACTAAACTATGATTTTTAATTTTATTCAATACCAATTCTCATAACTAAAGCAACAATTCATCATCATTATCAATATTTAAATATCCACAATCCCGACAAGCGCTGCACCCACAATCTCTTATGAATATTTCTACTTCCTTCCTTTTTGTTGAAAAAAGAATTATTTCCTTTCATCTTCCCAATTTTGTTTTTTGCTTTTGCCAATGAAACTTTTTCAGAGTTGAAGAAAAAAAAATATTGCAAAATTTATGAAAAGGCTTTAAGAGAGCTAAGAAGAAATTGGATTTAATAAGAAGAAAACTTTGGGATGCTACTTGAAATAAAAAGTTTTTTTTTTTTACGAGAACATATCCATTATCTACGGATTGTCGAGAACCGACAAAAAAGTATTCATTTCCAATTTTGGAAATTGACAAGAAAACATTTTCCATATCTCTTGAGAATTTTTTTTAAAAAAGCTTGGAATTAAACACCGAATTGGGGATGAGAGAAAAAGAACCAAAATTTATTTAGGCACAGCATCTTCATGAATATCCACAAGAGTAAATTCTCAATTTCATTTTAATCTTCTTGGGGAGATTATGTGTGTACATTTGAAGAGTTAAGGATGTAAAGTAGATTTTTTCATTGTTGTTAAAGGATTATCCCTTTAATTTTAAATGTAATGTGCCTTTGATCTTTAATGGATGTGAAATTTAATGATAATTATGGAAATTATGCTGCTTATGTCATATTGGACGCATTTGTGTTGAGGATGTGATAGCTTTGATGTGATTGAAAATGTTTATTGAATTTTTTAAAAAGTAAACTCTAACCTCAAAATTCAAAAATTTATTTTAACACTTGAATAAATATTTGTATCATCTCAGAATCATTCTGTATAAATGTCAGGTCATTTAAAGTTACCTGTGAGGCACAATAGCTAAAATATGTAGTCTAACCTCAAAATTCAAAAGTTGATTCTATCACTTGGATAATTGAACTGAGTGTCCAAAAAATGAGATGGCAACCTTTCTACTCCTGAGAGACTTACTAGTTTTAAATAGGGGTGCAGCCAGGTAAAGGGAGGGGGGGGGGGGAGTTGGAGTAACCCCGTTTTTTTTAAATAATTTCTTCAATTTGCTTGGGTTTTTTTAAGAAACCCCCAATTTTTTTTCGTCGATACCAAAAATTGCCAACCATTTAAATTTAATATAAGCGAACCTAAGCCTCCTTACAGTCCTTGGTCACTCTTCTGTTTCAATGCCCAACACTACAAACTCAAAACAAATAATAAATCAACTTGATGATCACAACCATCATCATCATCTTTATATCTCATACACAATACTAATCTTGACCACATGACTTCCAACTTTTCCAATTAAAGTTCATATAATGTACATGTCCACTTCATATATCACACAACAAAACTTTACTATTCACCTTTTTTCCATAAACTACATCCAAATAAATAATCTTCCACCTCATGCTTGATTAGCTACACAAAAATCATCATTAAAAGCACACAAAAGACAGCATTAATGTGTCGATAACCCTGGTAATAGAGGTCAGTTACTTTATCTGCGGTTCAGACATGGCAATAACCATAACACTTAGCTCGTCGCAAAAATTTCTGTCATTTGCAATAGCAATTCATCCAAATTGCTGTCTCATTTTTGAAGTCATTGAAAATTGTGCTCATTGGGAATTTTTTTCCTTCCTGTCACTTAATTTTGAAGAAATAAAGAAGTTGTAAAAAAAATTATCAGCAAAGACGTGATGACGGGTTTTGTATGTGATAAGACTTGAAAGTACCCGAAAGACACAATTAATGTTTTCGACCCCGAACTACACATCTCAAAAGCTTATTAAGGAACACTCATAAATAAAATTTATAAACATGAGGAACATATTATTATTATTTTTTGGCATAGTGTAAATATTCCCGTGAGGAGGGTGGATGTAATTAATTGTTTGGAACAATAAATTAAACGTTTACCGTTCTTCACCCATAATTGTTCAATTATCTCTTAGTAATTGTTTCTCATTTTCCTATTATTGTTATTGCCTTTGATAATGTAATTTATTACAAACGATTCCTGATTGCACCTGGCGTGTGCTTAACTTGCAATTTGTATGGAAAAGGAATTTTTTTTTCGCTCGACCTTTTCTTTTTCTTTTGCTCCTTTTACCTCTTCTTCTGTAAATATTAAAGCAGACAACAACTGTGTACCGGAGGTATACGATTTTATTATTTTTCATGGAAATACTTTTGTGAAGTTTGCTGGGATTTGTAAGGTGCTCAGATGAGTTGCTTCAAGACTTTACTCGAAAGTATCCTATTAACATAGTTTTTTTGAAAATATTAATGAACCCTACCCGATCGGCACACATTGAAATGTTTGTCAACTGGCGGACGGGTTGATAGTATAATTAGGAAAGAGAAACGAGAGCAATAAATAATAATAATAATGTGTGACAATCGGGCTAAACTATTTTCTGAACTCAAGTATGGAACTTAGCAACACTCATTAATATTTCTAGGTGTCGTCTTCATTTCAATCTTAAAACCAGAGCTCGAAGACGATAGGGTTCTGGACTCAAAACCGAGTCGACTCAAGTTTTCTCGAGTCAACTTATTTTTTTTTTAACTCGACTTCGAGCTCTGCTTAAAACTATAGTCTGGAACCGTTTCCATAAACTAGCTTGCTTAAAACCATTTCCTAAGCTTGTTTTTTAAGAAAGAAGTGAGGGAAGGAGTGAGTAAGGAATCTGCGTAGTTTTACAACGGACAGTCCTGTATTTCAAAACCCTGTCCTGTATAAATTTGAAAATTTTGTTCCAGGACCTGTATTTTTTTACGAAAATTTCCGTTAATTTTCAAATTTTCCTTTGTGTCCTGTATTTTTTAGGAAATTTATCAAATGTCCTGTATTTTCATAAAAATTAAATGGTCACCCTACTAAGGAAGGATGCAGGCGCTTAGCTAGGAGGGTCTTGTCCCCCCACTTATGCATTTTAGACCGTGCTCTCGGTTAGATTCAAAACGATTAAGGGGAGACAAGACCCTCCTGGCTCCACGCCAGAGATATGAGATTAAAGTCTCTCACTTATGACGTCCGAAATTAACAGTCATTTTTTAAATTCCAGAAATTTCTTTTGTTCTTTTCTTGTTTACCCCCTTCCCCCACCATAGCGTCATAAGTGAACGGCACATTTTAAATGTAACACTTCATAATTGCTTTTGACTTTAATAATGCAAATATAATCTCAATCAATCTTCACAAAAGTCACACAATGCTTGAAAAGTTATATGAAATTTTCCTCCATTTTCCTTTTTCCTATTCATTGCCAAAGTTTTTACTTCCAAACATTTTTTTTTCTTGTTTTAGTTCTGCTCTTGCGACTTATGAACAAAGCATAAAAGTTTCATACTTTTTTCTCCCACTCTCTTCATGCTTTCCTTCATACATAAGTGCCTTTTGCTCATACTTCTTTTTTTATAGTGCCACTGTGCCACTAGCTGAGGTTCAAGAACAAAAACAATAAGCGAAATGGGAGATGAGGAAGAAAAAAATCTGTGAAAAATTTGTTGCGCTAATAAAACTTTTTTTTTAAAAACACAATTTCTCATCATTTCCTCGTATTGCTGTAGAGAGGTAGCATTGAGAGGGTAAAAAAAATTATGAAATACAAAAGGGAGAAAAAGTTCATGCAATTGGGACTAGAAAAGCACTTTCTTGAAGTGAAAAAGCTAATTTTTGCAATTTTTTATATAAATACGGTGCTTATTGCTAACAATAAAAGAATTGCTGGTTTTTTGTTGAAATGCAAGAACTTGCAACATAAGTCAGCGATGCATGAATTTTACAATCCACTGCATCATCGTTATAAAGATTGAGAATTTATTTCTATTTGAAGGGTTGAGTGTGGCACTTATTTTTGGTATGCCATTCATATTTGTACTACAATTGATATTCATTCAAGAATTTTTTAAAAACTCAAACCATGCAAAGTTAAGGGCATAATCCTTTTTTAAAAAAATCATGCAAAATTGAATCATTTGGATTGCTAAAAGCAATAAGGATTGCAGCTGAAGTGTAATAAAGATGCGAGTGTGTGATTTTATTCTTAAGCTTCTGGACTTGCCAGAAGTGCTTTAAAACCTCGCCACGTCCATGACTATGCGTACGGCTCTCGCGAAGGTCAATGACATGGAATATCAAAATTTAAACCAGATTTTTAAAGCCCTTTATCACATCAAAATTAGTAGATTTAAAGCCCATAGCTTGAAAATTCCTCCTCGTGTGGTTCACCTTAAGTTTTCATACATTTGGGAAGGAGTGAATCTACTATAATCCCTTAATTTTTCAGATTACATTGTCTTTAATATATACCCTGATTTTGAACCCTGTTTAGGTTACATATCATCACTCAGGAATGCCATAAATAGAAGAATCATATAACTAGAAAAAAAAGTCATGCACAATAGAAGTTAAAAATGAATGAAAACTAAAATAGAAAGGAACAGAAAAAAAATGAGAGAAAAAAAATGGCATTCATACATGAATAAATTTGAAGAATGTTGTTAACAAGTATAATCAAGCGTGAAATAAAGCAAGCGATTGTGTAGGCCTTAAAACAACCAAACATGGAATATATCGTTTCTCATCATCATATGTACCATTCAGGCTCGGCTGTGAATATTGCACAAATCCCTCCGACACATAGCGCGTACTTCTTATCGTCGACGCTCTACTGCATCTCGTATCGGGCTGTTGCTGATGATGACGCGAGTACTCGTCCTCTGTATCGTCTTCAGCATACATTGAGGGCACGTCTGTACGAGCGGGTCTGTAAATAATTTGCAATAATTACATTAAATTAATATATATTGGATGTCTTTTGTTTCTTCTTACAACGGCAACGACAATGAATGTCTTGGTAGACAAAAATAAACATGGGAGAGCACAAAAAAAAGGAGAAACGTGGGACCATTATACTAATTGAAATCATTAAGCAAAATTAAAAAAACGAGATGAACGTGTGTTCGAGAAAAGCACTTGAGGCTGTATGGTAACTACCGCAGAAAGCACTTTTCTTAAATGATTTTATAAATGATGATCAATGGCGCAGTTAAATATGCAAAATGTTTAATTTTTGGGGTCGTTCTTAGACTCTTTTTTGAACTTCTTTGGCTTCATATTTACATCCTTGTATGAAGAGCGTACTTATGGGTCTAGGGCATGTTAGAGCTACCCTGGACATCCCCCTAACATAACACAGGTAGGAGAGTCATTCTAGAATACCCTTCCTTACGCTCCATCTAGGTTCCACTGGGTGGAGTAAGATGGTACCCTAGAGAGGGCAGGTTAGGATATCCTAGAATGACTCGGATTGTTTTCCATGCATTTTCTCTAAATAGTTTTAAATAAACTAGAAACCGAACCCCTATTGATCCTTTATTGGCTAAACCACATTAACGTCTTGGACAATCCAAACATCACATGATTAATTAATTTCATAAAATCCGCTAACAGTACAACATACCTTATTCTCTTCCTAATCTCCTCAGGCTCTGGTGGTTTTGGTCTTCGTATGCGACATATTGCTACACAACCAACAACCAATATGGATGAAATAATTATGCCAGCCGCAAGCACTAAGGCGGCTAAAACAATTGTTTGCGTTTGAGGACTCTGCTGTATGAGAATCTTTCTATTCTTCTGATTTGATGTCTCAGCTGGCGTTGGATCTTCTGATATTATTGTTTCATCTGTATTTCGGCATGTGTTTGGGAAGACAGAAAGGTCAAAAAAAAGCAATTAAGTAATGAATAAATTCATTTCCGTAGAAAAGAGATGACGATGATAATGATACGTACCATATGGTGGCAATAGTGAGCCGACACGCACACGATCGAAGATATAATTTTCACTGCGACCTTTCGCATTCACAGCATATACAGCAATCTGATATTCTCGTCCCGACTCCAATGGAGGTAATTTAAATTGAGGCACAGTTTCTTCAATTCGCACTAATGGAGCCAACGTTGCCTATGAAGGAAGGAGAAAATAAAATGAAATGAATGGAAATAAGTATAAAAATTTATTTTATTCTCCTGTCAAATGTGAATAGAAAGAAGAAAATGGACGACAATTTTATTATTGCTGAAATATGATAATGAAAAGGATGTGGATGATGGGATAGTGGATGTTGAAAAGATTGTTTCCTATTCTATTAAACACACGACGGTGACTTTTGAAGGTTTAAATGAGTATAGAACGTATAAAGTCGTTTATTGAGATTACTAGAATCTCGCTCATCAAGTTGCATACTAACTAGGATCCCTTGCTGGTCGAATGCTGACTCAAATTTGGTGTGGTAACTCGAAGGTCGTCGGTCCGAATCCAGCCATTTCCAAATTTGTTATTTTTCAGTTAAAGTTTAGATACTTTGACTGCTTAATGAACGAGATTAAGCCATAATTGGGCATTTGAGCAACATTTGATTAAAGGAACGAATCAGGAACTTGAAGTGTAACTGGAGCAATAGGAACGAGAGCTACAAGATTAACTTCCCTAACAGACAAACGAGTATACTCATGGTACCGTAACATACCCGAATAGACAAAGAGCGTGCTCACTTTTGTGAGCACGTTAATGAGCATACTCAAAATCATCATTTAACGTGCTCACCTGAGCACACTCAGTTGAACATGCTTGTGAGCACATTGTGAATATGCTCACAAAAAAACAAATTTTTTGAAATTTTTTATTTTATTGAGCATGCTCGAGAGCATACTCAATTTCTAAATCTAAGCATGCTCACTTGAGTACACTCTTAAGCATACTCGTGAGCACATTGTGAATATGCTCACAAAAAAATCAATTTTTTTAAATTTTTCATTTTATTGAGCATGCTCGAGAGCATACTCATTCTCGAGAGCATGCTCATGAGCATACTCAATTACCAAACTTAAGCATGCTCACTTGAGTACACTCTTAAGCATACTCGTGAGCACATTGTGAATATGCTCACAAAAAAACAATTTTTATAATATTTCACATTTTATTGAGCATGCTCATGAGCATACTCAATTCTCAAATTTTATTTACATTTTATTGAGCGTGCTCAAGAGCACATATATTGAGCATACTCTGAGTATGCTTATGATTTTGTATATACTTCACAAGTCAAAGTTTCTAGAATTATATATAGTTATCTACTTTTTAACTATAAACATTGTTTAAAAACATTTTGAGATCAATTTCGAAGTATTTAACTTTGTTATAGTTTATATATGAGTTTTTGCCATAATAAATTATAAAGGTAAATTGCAGCAGTGGTGTAATGGTTATGGTAATGGTCTTAGCAACAGAGCGGTAGTAAGTTCGAATCCAGGTAAAATCCAAAATTTTCTTAAGTGTTTTTTTCAGATTATTAATGAACAAAATTTATTCTAGAACATTAAAAAACTCTACAACAGTAAAATATATCAAAAAAAATAATTTCAAATTTTAATTTTTTTGAAAATTATAAAATGATGTGAGTACACTCAGTGAGCATGCTCAGAGTACACTCACGAGCACACTCACTGAGTATACTCAAATGTCACATCAAATGACATAAAAAATGTTGCATGTCACACAACAATTTGAGCATGCTCAAAATTTGTTAAAATAACGTGCTCAGAGCATGCTCAAAAAACGTGCTCATTAGCGTAAAGTAGTGGCATCACTTTTCGTATGAAAGAGCACGCTCACGCGAGCATGCTCAGCACTAAATTTGAGCGCGCTCATAGCGTGCTCTTTGTCTATTCGGGATACTCAAGAGTATATTCTGAACATACTCTTGAGTATGTTACGGTACCATGAGTATACTCACTTGTCTGTTAGGGCTTATAATAGAATATTGTCAGAATGGACCTGAAATGCATCACGTCATGCCCACAGACGCCCACAACGAGAGCCTGAATTTAATCGAAACCTAGCTTTGAAGATTAGAGGCTTGATTCTACATAATATTGATTTATATGAACAGTATGTCTTCAAAAAATGCAATAAAGTGCAAATAAAAATCAATAAATGTCATTAGAAACTAAATGACAGAAACAGGAAAACACTGTAAAATACCTGACTTGGAATAGTTGAATGTAAAAAGTGCCATTGAAGGATTCAAAGGCTTTTAAAATGAAAGCTCTCATATGTAGTAATTTTATAATGTATTTGTGCAACTTACAATACTCTCAATTTCGCTTTCAATTAGTGCCGCATTTTAAAATAACAAAAGTCCTTTGAATTCATCAGGAGGTGTGAATTTTCATTACACTTCTTGAATACATTATAAGTTTTTAAGAGTTTCACACTCGATTCCTGAAAGTTGTGCTCAAATATTCAACAAAGACTCTTATAGACATAATATTGCTCATGAATACAAGCACATTAACATCACTAGAATTGCGCTAATAACAAAGAAAAACAATGGTAAGTAAAAGTACATAAACAGTTATTCCAAGAGACGGAGAAAGAGTGCGAGAGATATGGAAAGACACACACCAAAAAGACATAAATCAGAACAAGGTCGTGTCAACCGAATGATAAATTGCTTAAATAAAAGCACATCGCATCAGAAAAAGGAATAAGCGAGTAAGTGAGGAGGAGAGAGCATCGAGATGAGATAAAAATGAATGCATCTAATCGTGGATACGCAATTCAGTGAATGGTTATGAAGAATTTTTTTTAAGGATGTAAGGATAATAAGAAAAAAATATGTCCAGCAATAAATAAGATATACAGCACAATACTCACTTGGTCATTCATCGTTGATATTTCATTATCTACTATTTCATGTGTACTACGTGTTGAATCTAAATTATTAAAGTAGGTAGAAGTAGCACCAATTGCTTCGAGAACAAAATGTTGTTGCAATCCACCATCATGTCCTGCTTGACAAATTACTTCCATTACACTGTCATTGCGTAATTCACAATGCCTTGGTACTTCTGGTACGCCTATTGTCGTGGATATCCATTATGTTTGGAAAAGAAAAAGGCACAAAATGCCATCGAATGATGAAAATATTGTTGTTTATAAATTCAGGTGAGGAGAGAGAGACGTTTGTGCGAGTAGGTGTTGAAAATGTTTGCAAATAAAGAAGAAAAATTCGTTTTTAATAAATGTCTCCTGTAATCTTAATATATCTTATTTAATATAGATGAAACCAAGGCTTTAGACTGTGAATTATTTATGAATTATCGAGGTAGAATTTGCAGTGGGATTTACGTTTTTCTGGTGGGGAAAATTAAGGGCCTTTTTTAAGGTTATAAAGTGTAAGGGATCTTTTGGATTATGAGTCTCAATTTGAGAGAGATTTATGGATACTTCTTAATTGTCTGATATTAAATAATTTTTAAGAATTTTAATTTTATCAGCTTCAATTGTCGAAAACTCAATTTACTATGTCCAAAGTCCACAAAGTGTCCACCTACATTCATATGATTTGAATAATTTAATTTTCACCTATTTGATACTTTTTTTTAACCAGATTAGAATTTCTATCATAAATCACAATTGTGTCCAGAGTTGGTATAAAAATTGAAAGCTCAGAGCAGGCGTGTAGCCAGGAGGGTCACAGCAAGAGCACGGTTTAAAACGCTTAAGAGGGGGACAAGACCCTCCTGGCTACACACCTGCCTCAGGGACTTAGCACAGATTTTGTCTCCTGGGGAACAAACAATAAATTTTAATCATTTTACTCCAATTTTACTAATGTCAACTAAAGTCAGTTTAATGTTAAGTCGTGTCAGACTCCCAACTTCAAGTTCAACTAATAACAGACTGAATCCCCTTCCTCCTACAAGTCTGATTACCAATAACTTTAAAGCTTGAGTTCCACACTTCTGCAAACTCTGATTTTATCATCCCACATGCAACATATAATTTTTTCATCCTGCTGAAATCAAATAAATGATAAATGAATTAAAATGTGTCACTTACGGGCAGGTAGAACGTGAATCAGACATGGATGAGATTGACGTCCAACAGTATTTTCAGCCCAACATGCTAATGTAATAATATCAGACTCTGATTGTGGCATGTGAGTCACTGCGCTCACAAGACCATGTGAATTAATTCGCGAAGATGGAACCTGTTGGATGTGAAAGAGAAAATAAAATAATGCTCAGTGGTGAGAGAATTATATGGAAAAAAAAGTTTTACTTGCTGCTGCTCATTTTGCTACAATTGCAAATTTGGTGTAAAATACACGGAAAGGGAAGATTAAAATAATTTTCCATAATTCCACATTTCACATAATAAAATTTTAATCCTCTTCCGACGTATTTTTACTTCTATTTTATATTTTATTATTTCTATATTGCTGAATATCACTGTTGCTGTACTTGTATGATAGTCGAGAATATAAAAGTTATGAGAGCTGTTTTAGTTGGAATTATGTGAGAGTTTTTTTTTTGTGTCAGAAAGGAAGACTAAATTGTTATTGTTTGTGAATTAAAACGCATTGAGTAAAAGTTTATTATGAATTATGAAATAAACTTTGTGGAGCTAGTTTTGGATTTTAATTTCAGATCAACATGGAATATTAAAGTAAAGGTATACAATTTATATCCACTCGATTGAAAATTTAATTGTACTAATGTTCCGACTCTATCCTCTCCTCCTTCAACCCTTCCAAAAAAAAAACCTATCCCTTTTCAGATCAAATCTGATTCAGGCGTGCGCTAGAGCGTTTCACAGCCAATGAGAGTTCAATGAGTGAAAATGCGCCAAACCACTGCACTCAAACCTAGACCTACAATTTATAGGGGAAATTGAACCTCTCATTCGATGACATTTCTGTCTGTAGCCTACAAAGGAAGGCTGTGAGCCTCTTTTCCAGTACATATGATTCGAAAAAGGACAAGTGAAGAATTTCGCGAAACCCAGTCTCGAATCCATGATTGCAATAATTAGGTACCCAAGTACTAAATCATTCCGTCACTGAGCCACTTCAGCTCACTTCCAACCTCCCAAAGTATATAAAAAAACAGCAAAGTTGCCCCCTAATACAGGATAATCCTTTGTTTTCTAGGCGACCCTAGCAAGAGCGTTCAAACTTTCAAAGCTTCACCCCCGGCCTTAACTCAAATAGGAAGTGACTTTCATGATTAAAAATTATTTATTGCATTGCAATTCAGATAAAAGGTTCATTTTAAATAATTTTTTGCAGCTATTCAGCCATTCTTTAGAAACAAATTAGCTCATTTGCATACCTTGCACAGAAATTCACTATAAAATGAGGAGATTACAAAATAATCGTTTCCATACTTTTTTCTGCAACAGCAAAAAAAAACTTTCAATTCTCTCATATATCGTATTTATGAATACACATTCGTTTTTGTGCATGCATGCGGTGAGTTAGCAAGTTTATTTGCCGTTACGATAATACTTACAGGTGAAACGTTCCTCGTATTATTATAAGTCCATGCAAATTTTACATGATCCGCTGGATCAGCTTCTACTTCGCATTTAACTTGCATTGAATGCATATTTAGAGCGCCAACTGACATTTGTTCAGTTCCTGGCTTACAGCGAGGTGAGACTGTGGAATAAAATAAAAGTGAAAGACAACATTAATGATGATGACTATAAAAAAAAGGATGGTGATGTTGAAGAAGATGAATGTATTTAACGGCATAGAAACCAACAGCAAACGTTTTTAAAATCTTATATCAGCATTCGCAGGCGTTACTTTTTACAGGAATTGAAAATGGAAGCGAAGAACAAAAAATTGAAAAGTAAATTTAATTAAAAGTTTTTTTTTCTGGTGCCTTTTTTTCCTTGCTCTTTGTAAATAAAAAAAAATAATTTAATGACTTAAACGAGAATGAATTTGTTGAAGAAAAAAAGCTCGTTGCTACTGTTTTCACTTGGTGAATTTAAAAATAAGACAGTATATAAAGATAGATGCAGAGTTACATAGGAATTTAAACGCATTTTAAGGGTTCATAATTCAAGAAAGGATTGTTAATAAATTTTCAGGCTTGCTCTCATCCCACAGTCGAAAGCAAAGAATGTCAAAATTCTAGTCCAAGTACATATACCTTGCATATACCTAGAAAAGGAGATACTTTATGTGCGGAAGACCTCAAAACTACACCCAACACACAAACCAAGCTTCGTAAATAGTAACAGTGAAATGTAAAAAGGAGCCACTAAAACTTGACTTGACCGGGGATTGAACCTAGAACCTATGGCACGTAAGGCCAACGCTTAGACCACTTAGACCACGAATGCCATATCACCGCTTTATCCCACAGTCAACTCTGAAAGGATTATTATTTTTTCATAATTCCTGGTTAAGCTGTTGATGATTTGACACGTGGATTTGAGCAAAAGCATTTCTAGTTAACAATTTACAAATATTTCCTGGAATTCAATAGAGCTTATCCCTTGTTTGCAGAGATTTATGATTTTTATATTCTCTCTTGTTCTACAATGTTAAAGAATTTTAATTGTTTTCTGAGTTATAAAAAACAATTCTGACTCACAATCTATAAAAAATTAATTATCCTCTTTTTTTCAATTGCACGACTCAACTGTGTTTAAAAAAAGTGAAAGACACAAGAAAGGATGCGAGAGAAGAAGAAAAAGCTCCTCTGAGCATTGACGTGCTATGATTATGTGTACACACTAAGACAGTAGAAATACATAAAATGCTTTTTATAGTAAATTTATTAGTAACAATAAAAAAGACACTTGACACCTCTTCACTTAGAGACAGCAGAAATACTCGACTGCACTTTAGAGAATTTTTTTTTGAAAACATGGCCAGCATATCGAGCAATGCTTATCGTCGAGAGAGGGTACTTCTTTACTAGTTTGTTTTTGGAATAAGTCTTAATTTTGGAAAATTTTAAAATTTCAGTCTTAAATATCTTTTGAAATTAAGTTATTGTTTCAAGTAACGCGTGGAAACTATCCCAAATATCATATTTATCCCACATATCCCAAAAATATTCAAAAAATTCCTGAGCATGTATGCACGATAATAAAAATATCCCAACGTATCCTTAGTGTATTGGACGTGTAATTTCAGGATATGATGGGATATCTAAATTCTAATGCATACAGGCTCAGGGATTATTTTGAATATTTTTAGAATATATGGGATAAATGGGATTTTTGGGATAGTTTCCACGCCTTGGTTTCAAGTAAGTTTTTCAACACTACAAAAATTGAAAAAATGCGCTTCCTAATTTAAATTCTTACTACTTTTAATCTGCATTTCATTTTACTTTATTCTTTTGAAAGTGTACGACTGATGTCGTTTGACAGCAAACATTGTCGACATTAAACATAAGGAAAAAACTGTTGCGAGTTTCGATCTAGAAAGTTTGTCTCTCACTTCTATGCGCATCGTTTAATTAAATTAATCACATAATTTAATTAGAATTTGTTTCAATTTCAATCTTTTTGCATTCTGAATGACTTTTTTGAGTATAAAGGAAGAGTAACAGCAAGATATCACGAGGAAGACCGAAGATTTCGTGGATTGGTTGTGTTGAAAAGGACGCTAGAGTCCTTAATATTCAGAACTGGAAGAAGGTTTCTAAGGGTAGAGCTGTCTTCAGACGATCTCTGAACGCGACAATGCCCCCCCAGCCAAGGAAGTAAATAAGTAAGAGTTACATTTTTTACAGTTTACAACAAAATATGTAGCTGCAACTTTCTCAAATTTTCGGTTCCGGCGAATTTACGAGACCGAGACCGAGAAACTCTTTATTTCTAGCAATTAAGCCACAAAATATGTAAAAATGGAAAGGAACTCAAAAACAAAAGAACCAGCATTTAACATTGTTCCCTAGAGTTCAGATTCCCGGGAAGTCTCGGTGTCAAATTAGCTATCAAAAAAGCAAATAAATAAAGCTTTAATATGGCGTAGTTTTAAGTGGCGTAGCTAGAAATCAGTCCAATTTTTTCCGAAAAACTCAGGACAATTCTCTCAGCTGTCACAAAATTTCACTGTTCAGCTTCAACCTCTAACTCAATTTTCAAGATCATTTGAACAACAAACAAACAATTCCATAATCAGATGAGCTTAAAATATATAAAAAAAAATGTAAAACGCACTTGATAAGCAAGAAAACAATAATCCTGAATAATATTTTAATCTCCATGAGTGATTCTGAATAATGCACAAGCATCACAACAATTGAGTGTCTAAAAATAAGCAATGATAAACAAAATATAACAAGTGGATTAGAAAATATTAAAATTTTTCCATTGAATTTTAATAAAAATTCATAATTTTTCGTCTCATGAAGATGAATTTATTTTATTAGCATGAAATGTTGTTGACACAGCACTAATGTTTTATAAGAAAATATCAAAATGATGTAGGACGGCATAAATTATCAAGTATTTATGTTTATTCTAATGTATGAGCGTGTCTTGTTAATGTTCTTCAAACATGTACCGCCTACGAGATGTAAGTGAATATATTACACTTGTTTAGTCTGAAATCATTGTGAAGTTTATTGCCTTTACATAAATTTTGTGCTTTGAAAATGAATAAATAAAAAAAAATCAATAAAAAGGCTAAGCTTTTATGAATTTGTAGAGAAAATTCTTGATTGAAAAAAGTCTGATGAGATTTCTTTGACCTTTTTTCATTCATTTATTATTTATTAAAAATAATTTTGATCCATAGACAGCATGCAGTCAGGCCATGGGGTGATTTGTTGAAAAATTAAAATTCATTAAATTTGGGTTGGAACTGAAAGGCCAAGTCTAGAGGAATTATTGAATGAATTTATAGATGTAAGTACAGAAACAGGCAAAACATTCCACTTGAGGAACAATATTGACTCTTATGGAGATTCAGTGGCTTGAGGTACTTTCTCTTTGGGAAAATTTCTTACTACACCAGTCTCGATACTGGCACGTCCTCAATATATGATGATGATGATGATGATGCCCTTTTACTCCACTGAAAAGTGTAGGGCTTTTACGAAACTTTTGAATCTAACGCTGTTGCTGGGTAATGCCTCAAACTCACTGAGTTGATTGTCCTGCTTCTCTACGAATAGGCGATTGCCAAGTTTCACTAGCTCTACTAGGTTTACGCCTACCTAGCGGATTCCAGAAAACAGCTTGTCGCGTTATATGTGCATGGTCTTTTCTTAACGTGTGGCCAATCCAGCTCCATTTCCTGTTGCCTATATTATCGGCAATGGGCTCCTGTTTGGTCAGAGCGAAAATTTTCATATAATAAGCTCGTAAGCTTTGGGTAAAAAATGCCGCAAATTTTATGCAGCCACCTAATTACTCAAGTTTTGCATCCATAAAACTGCTATAAGCTTTGCATCGTTTTTTGCGTAACGAAACAACTGAACTAAGTCTATATTAAAATCTGAAAAAAATTCTTCAAGAATACAAAAAAAAAAATTCCATCACAGAAAATCCATTAACTGCTCGATTGATTCTCAAAAAGGAACCATTTTTGAGTGATGTTGAAACTTTTCTAATTTGTCTTAATAGCTCTTGACTTGGGTCTTAAGGTGTCTAGATGTAATTTGACGACAAAATGTGGGCGATAAACTAAAAACAAATTCGATTCTACCTTCGACTATTGAAGGTTGCCAGAATTCCCGCTTTGATGTTTCTCTAATCACTTAAATGTATTGAAAAAAGCTTTTTATATTTGGGTGAATGTCAAATTTATTTTTGAATTTGATTAAAATCATATTAATCAATTTTTCAAGGAAAAGAAGCTTTTTGAGTAAACAGAATTGAGTAGGAAATCATAAACAGCATTATTGTGGGTAGAGTTGTGAGAATTTTGAGTTTGATGCTAGTTTTATGGATGATAAAGTTTTAATTTTAGTGGAAGATTCAATTTTAGTTGAAACAAAGAATGACTTAGCTTTAGTCTTTTAATTCTCACTTATGAGCAATTTAAGTCAAAGAAACTTCATAAAGTTAACCAATGCAAAACTTGATATCCAAGAAAAAGTTTAAAAAGTATCTAAATCAAATCTTTTCTGCATTCACGCGTTTAAAGCATTTTTATAGCACGTAAAGAAAAATTCTTAAAAACTGCCCCCAGACATAGCACATTAAACTCAATTTTCCGGTCTATTTACCAAAAGATTCACGAGATTTAAAATACGATATATGATCAGGATCGCATTGCCTTCAGCTCGATGCACCGTGTAGAAACACACCTCTTGGCTGGAACCTTCTCGTATTATCATTAAATACGATTTATTAAAATGCATTAAAAGTGGACAGCTTTGAATATTTTTGGAACTTGATTTGAATAAATCTATTGAAATATTCTAATTTCTATTAAAAGTAGCTAGCACTCTGCCCAAAAATCAAAAACATTTCGAAGGAACCAGTTTATTTACATCAATTGGCTAATCTTACATCTTTCGAAATGAGGTCAACACGAAAATGACATTTTAAATTAACATTAATTAAAGAACCATTGAATCGTCATCAAAATTACAAACAACATTAAGATGAGAACAGGCTTTTCATGATGGCATTCTAATGAGAATCATTTTCATGTTGTGTGAAATATTTCCAAAATTA